TAAGAGCCGATAAAATATACCATTATATGATGAGAGGAATGCAATATCTTTATTATTTCGGTAAGTGTAAAGGCATGTGAAATATACAACATTGAAAACTATCTTATACAATGCTTATAATCCAAAATATTTTGGTTTTGTTCAGGATTCTACGTAAATATTTTAGATATCGCACCAAAATATGCTAGTTTAATGTATGGTTTACTGCTGAGCATACATTTTATTTTCAACTTTGTGTGGGCCAATGTCGTAAATATAATATTGAGCTCTATGGTAATAACATATAAAAACATTTTAAATGTTCTTAATTTCTTATGTGTATTAAACGAAGTTAATAATAGTCGTAATTAAATTTTAACATAGATACTTACCAAAGTCGAAAGTGATATACTGATAGCTATAATATGTTTTTTGGTGGCTGTATTGTATGCCATTTTCGCTTCCGCAGAACTAGAACCATGGGCAGCAGATGAACCGGAAGAAGAATTTCAACAAAATATAGTTGAGAACGACAATAAATTATAATGATTTATTTGCATTTACAATTTAAATAAAAATTATACATTATAATATTAATCTATATAGTATATATAATAAAAAATAAAATGCTGTCCGTTGGTAGTCGCATCACTTAAGAACTGTTAGATTTATTTGGCTCATTAAAATTAAATTAAAAAAGATTACAATAATTATATCTTGTGAAGATTTTACGGAAAGAAAAATTGGGAAAATTTTTTTGGCATATTTCTATACATTTTTTTTATTGTTTATAAATGTAAAGAAAGGATTTTTAAATTTACGGTAGAAATCGAGTATATGTATAAATGTTTATAAATTAATGTCATAGATTATATYTTACAGATTATTAGTAGGTATTATAAGAAATATTAGTATTTTTTTAAATTTAAATCATAAATGACTGCTATTGAGTATTCGGGCTGATGACTGATGATCGGTGAAAATATATGAGAATATATCATWAGTAATGAGAATGTATCATGTCTTGCAAATTCATGTAAATGGAGTGCTAGATATTGATAAAAAAAAATCGTTGAAGAAGTAAATGGAAATAGTGAGTTAAATATTCTCAAAACAAAAATTATATATCATATAATATTATAAATTTCGCTCTTCTAAAATGGTTTTGGGTAGACTATTTTCGTATACCCCGGTATAATGAGTATAGTAAGTAACTACTTTATTAAATTTTACTGTTTCCACGTACCTATTTCGATGGCACAAAATATTTTCCATTTTTTTTTTACAGTTAGCATGCAATTATCATAAATTGTCTCGACTATTTACCGAAATTTAAAGGACAAGATGTACATTTGCATGATAGAAATGATGTATGAGTGGTACTTATTAAAGAGACACCTAACTTGAGAAATTTATTATAGGATAAAAAAACTTTTATGCCAAAATGTAGCACGAGATTTGCACAAATTTATAGCATTGGTATACGAATTTCATAAATAATATATTATGTAGATAACAAACTGTTACAAAAGGTATATTATATATTTAGCTACCAAGAAAAAAGAATATTTTGACATGACATACCTATAATTTATGGTATTTATTATACATATTGTAGAATTGTTCTATTTAATAAATGTTCTTTTTAACTATTCTTAATAAATATATTTTTGAAATAATGGTTTACTGGTAAAACAAAATTTTAATATAACTTGTAATATTAGTCGTATTTTCAACATTGAAAAAATAACTCAATATTCATCGATGATTAAACTTTATTTAAAAAATAAAATTACAATTATCAATACATATTAATATAATGTATATATTATTCATGTAAAATAAAATTTTACTGTGATAAGAACAACATAGGTACTCGTAAGTATTCTATAATCAATAGTTAGTAATAAATCATGATGGTAATTTATTTATTTTGCTTTATTTTGCTTTACTTTTTATTTTTTTTAACTGTAAAATATAATTAAAATTATTATTATAAAGTTATGTTGGCACATATTATAGACATAAAACATAATAATATTACATTGACAAWTTCAATAGGGATGCGTTAAATATTACAGATAAATATAATCATATTATATAAACATTAAACATAGAGTTATTTGCACCATATGGTTTATGTATAATTTATACTATGTAATTGCTAGTACCTAGGTATATTGAAATTATTCTTTGCTCACACCACAGTAAGCATGCAAGATACATGACCGGATCATCGTTTTTATACATTTGAAAAGATCAAGAAACTATTAATGTAAGTGCCATACCTTTTTTTTATTTTTTTTCTTGAAACCGGGAACGGGTGGGAACTGTTTAGCACAATACTGCCACCCGAACCAGTATCGTATGTAAGTGCCATACCTACCTAAATTATTATACATATTATTATGTATATATAGTTATAGTGACAATGTTGTTAGAATATTAAATATTAAAATATGATATAATATGATAGTTAAGTATACATACTGCTTATTATATGATTACGATTTATGATGTTCGATGTTGTATAAAGTATAAAGAATGGAATCATTACGTCAAAATATATG